GCCTGTCTCGTTTTCGCGTCTCTTGCATAAATTTATTCTCCGCGCAATTAAGATATCAAGTCTATTATGCCGATTTCAAGCCCAACTTTACATATAATTTATTTTACGTACGTTAATTCGATACAATTTTCATTCCAGCGGCAAATTAACTTTTCATGTCCTCCCTCCTTGGGCAACACGCATGCCGTTCTTAATGCGCCTAATTATTTCAAGTATCTCATAATTGCACGCGATGCTGCGCGCAGATTAGAGTCGCGGCAGAAATTTAGAACGCCTTGAATTGACCAACGATAATTACTCTTCACTACACAAGGAGGTACTCATTTTACGACTCACTTGCGCAATTAATCTTTACTCAATTAGCCCGAAAGACAAATTAGCTCGAATCGTGCTCAAAAACCTTCTAAAATTTTTGACTTCGTTAAAGGACTCGGAGGAGATGTTTTTGGAAACGTTGCCGCAAGAAATCTCTTTTTAGAAAAGGCGAGAGTCGCCTCCGCCGGGTATTGGCTATTTTGGACTGACAATATTTCAGCTAATTTATTTTAGTACTTCCTCACCAGTCGGAGCTAAGAGTGAGTTATTATCGATGAAAGTCCCCAAAGAAAACCATAAACAAAATACCGAATTTAAATTTACTTTTGATCGAGTATTATCAATTTTGTTGATTTTTTTTTTGCTTTTCAATAAAAAAATTGTCATGATTTTGATTGATTACAAATCAGAAATTACTTTGAACATTGTGTTTATTTTGACACACTTCTTTGAGCCATTTCAGTTGCTCTTCAGTCCCTAATTCCTGGAACAAATTTGATGCGTGTCAAGGTGCATGTGTTCGCCTGTCAAAGTGTACACTTTTCGAAAAGCTCTGCGCATCAGACAAACACAAATTTCAGCTAATCACGCGTGCATCTCGCGGGGTCCGAAAATAAACTGGCGGCGAGCGTCTTTCAGTCAGTGAGTGCTTCCTCGGCATCTTTACGAGACGCGTAGTTTTTATAATAGTGACGAAAGCAAGTTCTCCAGCAGATTCCTCCTATAATGAGCCTAACGAGCTGCCACGCAAAACCTCAACCACGTGGCGAATTTTTCTAAATTTCATCCGTGCTAATTTTCTTAAATATTTTATTTTATTTTTTCCCACCAAAGCTATTTCCGTTTCGGGTCCAATACTCGTAAATCTCTCGGGAGCCTTAATTTGTATTTTTTCACTCGCCACACGCTCAAGTGTGTGGGTATGGAAGCAAAACACGGGCCATCGGATAGTAATTAATTTGAGATTAAACGCGAAAAACGCTGCCGGTGAATAATGTGACGCCCACGTGCACGGCCCGAAAATTGCCCGCGGTCTGTTGCAATCCATCGGCCGCTTGCTTTTTTTTCCCAACCGCGCCAATCGGCCGGAATTTTTCATCAACCCACATGCGCTTTTTGCCGCTGTCCGCCAGTTTAATAATAATCGAGAGAGACAATGATGGAACCGCTTTTGAGTTTTTGACCCTCGAAAGCTTCCACTTGATACGTGACTCAATTTCTTCATTGGGTTCCGCCTGCGGAATATATTCAATCGAAGCCACAAAAAGTTGCAAGTTCAAGGTTTTCCGTCTTTTTTACTTTTCGAATTAAAAGCTTATCTCGGTTTGGTACACCTGCTCATGTCGCTTTCATTTGTTTTTCTTCACTTCTTGTTTCTAATTTTGGCTCGAAAATGAAATCTGGATTTTTTTCAATCAGCTCGTGCCATTGTTTTCAGTCGCTCAGGTGGCAATTTTGCTACTTACCGGACGCGCTTCTATTGTCATGAGGAATGAAAGTAAAAAATGTTTTGTCTTTTGTCTGGTATCGCAGCTGCAGATTAAAGTTAACTAGTTAAATAAGAAAAATTAAATCTGTTTTTTTTTTTAAACAATTTAAAATTTAATATAATTTTGATATTTATTTCAATGATCCACATCTTATTGCACTTTTATATTATTATTTCAAATAATTCATTTTAACAAATTGATCTTTTTTATTCAAATACATCATTATTTATAGCCTATTAACTTCAGATTATCTTAAAAAAATTTGATTTTCAGACAATAAATAGAAACGCACTGATAATTTTAATAATATCAAGGCTACTCTGCTGCTTCCGATTGTGTCTCTGGTGGTTATAATATTAAAATTTTTTTATAAGATCAATTGATGCATCATATTATTTTTAGTCTTCGGTTTAAGGATTAGGTCCTAATTATTGGTTGTTGAAACAACTTTTTCGCCTTGATTTTAAATGGATATATTTCTCCGAAAAAATTTGATTTTGCTATCAATGATTACTTTTAATTATTGTTTAATCTTCTTTTAATAATTTAAGAGTATATATTATACATTACATTGAAAAGTTTTAAGTAACAAATAATTTGCTAGGTTTGGTGATCGCGGCTGCCCCACCAACGTTTCAACCCAGTCAAACGTGTTTGTGCAAAGAATCGCTGATTAAATTCACAAATTAATCGTTCTAACGTGCACAAATAATATTAATGCACCGTGCCCCGCACGCAATTAACCCGCTCGCGACAATTATTCAAGTGGCGTTGGTTGCGACACGCGTGGCATTATATGGAAATGCGGTTTGATAGATGGTGCTTTTGAATGCTCGCTCGGCGATCGCCATCGTCTGTCTCATTTCCATTTGGAAAGTGGGCGGATTTAAAAGGCTCTTGATAATTAAACTCACTTATTACTCTCGGTGCTGCAGACGAGGGAGCAAAAGAAAGAATTAAAAGGATCGAGAACTTGCTGCCTTTTCTTGGGCAAATAATGAGAGGGACGCGAAAATGAGCTTTTTTATACCGCGTTAATGATTCCTATTGTATTGTCACCGTGTTTCGTAATAACTGGCTGATTAATGCGGTGCTGCAATGAATTGCAGTAAATTATATTTAATTTGCAACCAAATTAGACAAATATTTATTACGGATGATTAATTGTAGAGACTATTAAATTACTACACTCATTCTTGACCCAATTTTAAGTCTTGTCTTAGTGACAACTTTTATTTGACCTTTTTTACTTTTATTGAAATATTTTTTTTAACGAAAAAAAAAAACTAAATCAAAACTTCAGACCTGATTTATGATGTTCAAGTCGTGTTTCATTATCATTAGAAAGTTTGACTTCAAGAAAAGAAAATTAATATAAAATATTTATTAGAATTTTCTGCTCAAATTCTCGAGGTATTGCAACATTGTGTTGGTAACTTTGCACCATTTAGCAAAATCAACACATGTCTTTAAATAATAATAATAGAAGAAAATCAAAAGACAAATAGATAATTTCATTTCTGCAGATTTCTTTTTCTCGAAAGCAAAGAACTTTCAACACTTCAATTGATTCATGAATGAAAATTTAAACAAATTCCAACAAAGCGAGCGAGCGAAACCAGAAAATCAACTGAGTCGCTCCAATTTTCACCTATAAATAAGTTGAGATCACTCGGTGACGCGAACATACTTACAAATATTTGTATATTGAATTCCACGCCATTTATCATCGCGCGGTTGTTGTGCGATCGAGTGTGGGAATCGCAGCAAGCAAGTCGCTCAAACGCTGGCCTACAACATTTTTACGTCATTTACAAACAATGCATCTCTCACTCGACGTCTTTCATTTTTATTGTTTCATCTCTCGGCGGCGGCGGCTGGTTTTGTTGCGCCACTTCTTCTTCTTCTTTTCTACTATCCTTATTCCGATCCAATACGCATGATTTTTATTTTCTCTGCGACGGTAATTAGAATAAAAAGCTGCTGCTGTGGCGGCGGCGTCGGCGAATTCCTTTCTATAAATATAATAACACGCTCATGCAGGAGATTTATTTATTTATTTATGTGAGGCAGTGCTCCTTTGACATATGCAGCGCGGCGGCAGTGGCAGCGACGAAAGAAACAAGACTCGGGCTGCGCTACACAGGTTGCATATTAATAAGGGAGTCGCGACGACAGAAATGCTTTTTGTGCCTTTCTTTTTTGCCGTGTCCTTGCCTTTTATAACATCTTGTTGTTTTGCCGGCCACTCAATACGGGCTATTATTTGAGTCTCTCTGTGGTTTTTTGCAGGAATTCTGCAACGGACGTTTTCGCTTTCGATACAAGGGAAAGATTCATCTTAAATATTCAGTCTTAAAAATGAAGAGGACATGTGTTCTTGATTTTCAGCGTTAATCATTGAGCAAACACTTCAGCTTCAAAAAGACATGATTCTTCAACCCTATGTAAAATACTTTTACTCAAAAAATTGTTAATCAACGAGAATTTCAAAAATGCCAAAAGTGATAATGTTTAATTTAACTGCATTTGAGATTTTTGGTTTCTTTAAACATCTCTGAACTACTTGAAATCTTTTTAAAGAATTTTAATACTGTTTGCTATGTCCTTGTTAATACAAATTCATTTAATTTTAAGGCACACATTTTTTTTTATTATTAAATGGAAACGATTTTAAGTATATCTATTAAAAATCTATTCATCGTCTGACGCCTCTTTCAACTTTCATAAGAGCGAATTTCCCAACAGCTGTCTTGTTATGTGTTTCTCTAACTGTTAAGAGGCTGTTAAAATTAATATTATTGTTATACATTTGACTGGAGAGCGGACACGCCGTTCCGAAAGCGATTGTTTTGTTTTATTGACCGTAAATCCAGGCATCTTTTCAATAAATCTTGACGGCGTTAAAAGTCGAAAATGTAAAAAGTCTCGTCATATGGGAGTGCCTTTCATGCGCGCGATGTTACTTAACTGGATAGAGAAGGCATCCTTCAAGGTGCATCTCTTCTAACACAATAGACGCGTACATATGCAAATGAGCCCTTGTCCGAGAGTCAAATGAAGCGTGCTGCTATTTTCCTCCAATATTTGCTCATCTCTCATGCAAAGAATTCCAGCTCACGTTCCTCATTTTCAAACGGGGATTTTATGCATTTTATTTTATTAAACCACGTGTCTTTTTTCCTCTGATTGCAGAGACAGAGTTCGTTGCTCCAGCGGAGAGGACACGAAGATAAAATAGCTCGCCGGGATGGGCGGCCGGTGGTGGCGAAAAGACGACGAAAACACGGCAACCCCGATGAAACCAAAATATAAATAAGAAGCGGAGCCAAGGCGGCGTGCGCTGCGTGCATTCACTGCCAACGGTGAAAAAGCGAGCGAGCGAGAGAACGAGTGTGTGTGTGTGTGTCGTCGTTTCCTTCTTCCGTCTGGGATATTTTTACCCCTAAAGCAGCGCCACCAGAGAGGCTCTTTCTCCGTCCGAGAGGGAACCGCAGTCAGTCGGTCCGTATATGAGAGCAGTGGTGCGCGCGTTTTAAAAATAGAGACCGTCGGATTTGTGCTCGGACCGTTTGACCCCGACCCGTGGAGGCCACACGATGACCACCGACAAGGTAAATACCATGCTGCATTACGACGACGTTGTAATTGGTCACCCGTCATTGCTCCCCAGCAGCACTAGCGACCCCCGCTACAAGGCCAGCGTGCTTCCCCTGGAGGACAACCCTGAACTGGCCGAATTGCTGCTCGAGTCCACCGACTACCTCATCAACCCCATCGGGGACATGACCTCGATGAAAAGACCCGCGTCGGCTCAGAGCTCGACGGCCTCATCAAACTCGGAAAAGATGGCCGCCGGCCGCCACGACGACGACGACATCGCCGCCATCGCCAAACAAATTTCTGACCACGCCGAGGCCATTTACCAGACGTGGAAGTCGCGCGGCCTCGGGCCTGCCGAACTCAGGAACATTTGCCAGCCGCCGAGTGCGGCCGCCCAGACCTTTGCCCCCGTGTTGACCCCCACGTCCCCCAAACCCTTCCCTACGGACCCTGGCCCGCCGTCGCCCTCATTCAAAACGGCCTCCGTCGGCATGTTGAACCCCAGTCAGCTCGAGTACCTGGTCAGCAGTTTTGTGGAGGAGGACAAGGCGCGAATCGCCGCCAATTACAACAAACACCAGCCGAGCGTCTCTTTGATCAAGTCTCAAGTGCAGAAGTTCGACCAGCAGGCGGCCAGTAGCGGCCGCAACTCCCCCCTCCTCCAAAAAGTCACGCCGCCCCCGGTGAAAAAACAATCCACCCCCGCTTATTTACCAAACGACCAGCCCGAAAATGGACTAACGACTTGGCCCCTGAAAAACCACCTGGGCCCGAGGTCAGCCAAAGGGCCGCTTTCGCCAATGGAGTCCATCCCGCCGGCCGTTGTGACTCATTTGGGTGCTCCGGCGCACAAAATCGAGCCCATCCAGGTCATTCATTACCAAGAAGTGACGCCCGATTCTAGTCTTTCCGGCGGCCCATCGAAATTCGCCACTCTGCCGGCCAAAAAGAAAAACTCGGCCACCTTTTTGGAAGAGGTGGCCCGCGAAGAGGAGCGCCTCATAAACGCCCTCAAAACTGGCTGCGTCATCGAAAACCTGGAACACAAAATGCAGCTGCAAAGTCCCTCGCTGGCCAATATGCAAAACAAAAGCGGACGCGCCAGTCCAAAAATACCAGACGACAAAATCTCTGGCCTCTCTCGCATCGACTACGCGAAAATCCGTTTCCAGAATGCGCAGGAAAATCCGCTAACTCGCCAGAGAATGGAGAACAACCGCGAACTGGACCCGATGCTGTCTCTGAACAACCAGCACGCCGCTGTTCTGGAGGCCAAGTCACGATTTGAGACTCAAACCAACGGCGAGCACTGGCTGCCCACTTCGAAGGTGGATGGTCCTGCTTTGCAAGGGTCGGTGCCGCTCGGCCGGTCTAGAATCAAGATGGGCCGCAAGTCGAGAGGCGATTTGGAAGGCGCGGTGCCGCACCCCGAGCTGACCATTCAGCAAAAGCAGCACATTCGTGAGCGAGGCTCTGCGGCCGCGGCCGCCGCTTCAGCCGCAGGCCCCACCGCCCTCGGAACGAACCCCATCCGGCCCTTCCTGACCAGGGGTTCCGTGGCCGAGAGGGTGCTCATTTTCGAAAAGTGTCCGCCGTCGGAAGTGCTGAACCCGTTGATGGAGAAGCGAAAGGCGCCGCCTGTGATAACCACCTGGAGAAGTGGCAACGAGGTGCAAAACAAGACGCAGGTAGGACGAATAATTAATTAATTGTCGCTGTTTTCCTTTGCATGATTTTAATTTTGAACATATTTATTAACACAAAGTCACGGTTTGATGGAATTTCACCTAACAGTAACAAAGAGAATATAGGAATAAATCTGCATAGTTTATAAATCATATTGGAAGATTAAAATACTATTCTCGGAAAATTATTAAAATTAGAATATAACAGAATTTTGTATAACAATAGAATAATTTACTATTTAGTCAGAAAGAAAATTTAGTATGTTTGACGTACAAACATATTATTTTACAATAAAATTTTGGTCTACAAATTGCTTTAATTTGCAAATAAGAATACTTGTGAAAGGAAAAAAAAATACAAGCTACAAAATTTTGTGCAAAAGTTAAAAAAAAGTTCGTTGAAATTTTTCAGCTCTATACTATTTACAATTTTCATCTCTTTGAATTTTTCTCCGTTGTATTGAAATATTTTTTGGGGATTCCACGAAGTGCAGATATTTTTAGCCCACTGACCACCGAACAAGCAGGCTCGTCATAGTTCGTAGGCGTTGCACCAGCCGGCATCAAACTGATGCTGCAAACGCACATTTTTCCCTGGAAACAACTGCGTATATTTTTTCTACAGAAATAGAACTGAAAAAACTTGTTTGTAAATTTCTTCTAATTCTTAAATTCGAGTCTTTTTTATTCATCCGCAGAACAAATGTTTTGCGTACTAAATTGCCAAACTCGCCGTTGCAAAGCGATAAAAGCCATTCCGTAGCTAAACCGCGTCGATCTCCACCAAACAAGACAAATGGCTCAATAAAACAAATGAAACACGTGCTATTTCCAACGAAAATAAACTCCCGATACGCACTTTGGCCCTCTTAAAGACAGGCCTGCACGAGAATGCATAATAATATATTTAAGCAGATCAAAATCCCTATCATTTATGTGTCTGAAATATTTGCATAACTCGATCCGCCGGAGAGAGAAACTTCATTTTGGCGAACCTTCGATTGTAGTTCATTATTTATTATTGCTGAGATGCCGCTCGAATTTTCTCCCCGGTGTCCTATTTTCCTCGAGGGCTGACCCGGCCCCTGACTTCGTTTTGGACTCACGCTCGACGCATATAATATTTAGATTTATGGCGGAGAAACGGCGGGTAGGAGTCGCAACCTGAAATTCAAGCAGCAACCTTCCCGGCGTGTGGGATTTTTATATTTTTTTCGCCATACGTGGGTCTTGCCGAGCGTAGATATTTACAAATTTAATAAACACACACAATCGACGCTCTAAATCCTATGCACAGGCTACTCTGCAAAAAAAAAATGTATGTTACACTGATTGTGAATTAAATCTGCACCGATAAATCACAGAGCTATCTGCAGCTCGTAAAAATTGTACGTGGAGAGAAATTAGCTCTAGGTTTGAAGATTTGCATAAAATTGAAATAAAAACAGACTGGACCGCCTGGTGCGCTAGTTTTAATTTAGATTCGTGTTGACAGTATTTTTGAGAGGAAACTGGTGGCTTGTTTAGTTTGGATTTTGGAGTAATTGATATGACCGGTTTTAAACAACCTGTTTGGATTAATTTGGATGCGGATTAGCAGAATTTTGATGAAAAAGTGGCTCAGTTAAGCTTGCATTTTTTTCATTTTATATTAATATCAATTTAAATTTATAAATTTTTTTGTAATTTTTATTTCTTTTAATTATTTAAAATAATTTTTTATAATAAATTTTTGAATGTATTAAAGGTTGGCCTTAATTCTTGTTTAAAAGTTGTTTATTACTTTTATCGAAAACTAAATTTCTGTAAAACCTACAAAAAATAAAATAATTTGGAAGACCGTGATCAACTACTCACATTGTTGTATTTTTTATTAAAAATCAATCGGGGTCCAACTTTTTTAATTCAATAAAAATTGTGTTTTAGTTAATTTTAATGCATTACTTACATTAATAATTCCGCTTATAAATTGTGTAGAATTTATCTCAATTGAAAGCTCGCAAATTGTTTTTAAAACACATGTAATTAACGTCTAGACCTGCCAGAGTCCAATTTTCAAGAACGCATTTACATTTTAAATTGATCCGATTTTCCTGTCAATCACAAATGGTAATCGCCCAATTTCATATTACCAAATACCAGGCCCCACCTAAGAAGCCATTCACAATAATAAGTTAAAATCCAATTCTCGATAATTATGCCACTCTTCTTCCTCGCTGTCGAGATCGCTATCCAATTAGGAAGACGAACTAATTAGCCGCGACGCCAAAACAACCGCGCGATTGATATTTTAATTTCGCATTGGCGGCGCGTGCGTTTGGCACAGAGATTTTCAGTCGTGATAAGAGTGGCAGCCGTCGTCACTTGAAAGTATGCAAGGCCTCGGCCGATATGATCGCTCAGAGAATTTATTTCTAATTGGCGAGAGAGCCGCTTTTGCTTTTCCGTGAGTCAATAGCTCTCGATGTCATCTCATTTTTTGTTCGTCCGAGGCGTGGCCGCCAAAACAAAGCGCGGTGAAATGTTATTAAAATTATAATTGCTTGTTGCGTGCATTGGCATAAGAAGAGACTCGCTCCGATTATTGCTCGTGATCTCGTTATTCCGCCTGTAAATCGTTCACACCGTGTTTGGTAGCTGCAATTAAAATTAATGTCCCTTTAAAAATTGAATGCTTTTGAGATTTGAGAGACGTCCTAAACGGCTTTTCTTTTTATGATTACCATCTGAAAAAAATGTAAATCATGTTTTTTATTGTTACTATTAATTTTACATACAAGGATGAGCTTTCAAATACGGAATTTTTGTGCTACTTAAAAACTTAATTATTCAAATAAAAATAATTTGAAGAGATAAATTTATTATGGTCGCTTAGCAATCATTGGATATTTAAAATTTATAATAAATTTCAAATAACGATATAACCAACAAAGACATTTTGCCACTAACTATAAAATATTTATATTTAAATTTAATATTAATTGCGGAAGGCAATTACTGCCCTAATATTATGGCAGTTATTTAGAGTTCAAATGCTTTTTATTAAATTTTAAATTGTTTGAAACAATAAATCGTGTTTTTAGCGATAGTACAAATAATTTATTTGTAAAACAATTAATATATCAACATTTTAGTTTAGTTTTATTATTAATTTTTTTATAAATCATTTTACATTTTAAACATTTAATCACTAAAATAAAGCTCTGCTTTATTAGAAGTTTTACTAGTTGTTGCTTTATTCTTTTTTTCATTATGAAAAAGTTAAAATACAAATCAAATATTTACTTCTAATGAGCTTCTTGAAACTAATAATATTTAGAAACAAATATTGATATCTATGTTAGGTTAGTGATATGTGATTTGAGAGATTACTAAAATTATTGTTTCAATGAATATTCAACATACATATGAAAGCGCAACTATTTTTTTTTTTAATATTAACATATAATTTGTTAATATTTATTGTAATTATTTATCAAGATAATTAAATATATCATGATCGTATGTGCCAAAGAGAGAAATCTGACTAATTTCTAATAGTCTCATTTTTATTTTATCAAATTGATTTATGATTGATCTTCCCAATCGTTTCAAATGCCAATCCAAAAGATTCACTTCTCTCTTGCTTCGCCCGACACACAGATAGATGCCCTAATTATTTCAAGGTTTCAAGCCACTTCTCATACACACACCGGCTGACTATCTCTTGAATCTGAATCCCTTGCGTCTGCTTTCTTTCTTTCTCGAGATGAAATGAATTTGTTCGCGCATAAATCACACAAAGAAATGCTTTTTCAGCTATGGTGGCGGCACTTTATGATATCGGCTATTAATAGAAAAGTCATTAAAAATCCACCTCACACGGCTGAACGAGGCGAGTTGCATACATATGATCTATAAAAAAAATATAAAGTGACGAAATGTCGTGCAGCGCTGGAATTTCTCTCTATTTGGATTGGCAAGCATTGCGTTGCGAGATGTATGTAGGATAAATAAAACCCTTATTTGAACGCGAGAGATGCAGCCGTGACAAATCTCCGTAAGAGAAAAAACGACACAGTGCTGAGAGTATGGATGGAAAGAAAGAAAGCAAGCCGATCCGTGTTGTTGTACCTCGACAAAAACACATGCTCAATTTCTGTCTTGATTTTCAATTATAGCATAAACCAGCAAGGGTCGATGGCTTTCACAAAATGGCTTAATTGGGGCTGAAAACCTTGAGGCCGAGACGTGAGAAGACCACCATGCTTGTATAACGAAACCGTTCTGTCCTGTCAACATCACGGCGCATTTTGCTTTAATTGAGACACATGTTTTCAAGAAAGTTTGATCCCAATCAAGTTTAAAATGGGAGTCAGTCAATGCAATTTTTTGTTAAAATTGGTTTATCAGTTTTAAAGTTTTAGAAGTAAAAAAAAAAATGGGAATGCAAATTAAATTTTATTTCATTTATTCATATAACTGGTAATTTAGAAATTTTTAAAGATAAAATTTAATAAAAGTAGAGCATAACATAGATTTTTAATTAATAAGTCGGTGAGAATTACTATTATGGTTTACCCGTATATTCTTAAGTTGGGACTGATAAATTATTGTTACATTAAGAGAATATACCATTTTTTTAGGGAAATAAAAACAATTGTTTTAACGACATAAAATTAATTTATATTTAAAAGTAAACGCATCAATTGAATTATTTTGTCAAGGTAATAATTTGAAGCTCTTAATTTTTATAATTTCAATAAAATTCATTGATAGACTGATGAGTGAGATTAAATTTTACGAAATTAGGATTGCAAATCGTTCCTATAAGTTTCAAATCTAAAGCACTACTTGTACTTACATCATGTCATTATTATTATTACTTCTCAAATTTTTATCTTTTTAAATTTAAATTTCATATCATAATTAATGTTTCTTAACTGGTGGTGGTTCCACGCTTGACCTTGATATGCACTAATTGCAAGCGGAGAAATGTTACATCATTTAATTCATAATTAACTGTGGGGCGAATATGGTCAGGAATTTTGCCAGACATCAATTAAAATATCAAAACAAACTTCCTGAGAAGCCAGACACACAAAATCCATCTTTTCAGCACCATAAACACAAACGAACACTCTGCGCACAAATATATAAAATTTGATGATTTTTATTTCTAGGAAGCTCTTGCCTTCGCCGAGCAAACTTCGCAGGTCTTGGTAAGAATATTTCCACTCGAAATTATATATATTTCTCTGTTTCTCGTCACACACGCACACACAAGCAGTTTCCTGTATTAGTTAGGGCAAAATTAACAGCGTAGAAAACCACGTAAATAAAAGCATGCCCTATTTGGAAAAAGTCAAAGGACGTCGCAGAATAGCGAGATAAGTAAAAAAAATAAACAAATCAAATGACGACGGAGCTGAAAGTTATAGTTTTGAAATAATCAGGTTGCTTGTTCAATACACGTGTCCTTTGACAACAATTATTATTATTATTATAGAGCATTGAACGTTTTAGATCAATAAATATAGATCACTTTTGCTTGCATGGGTGCGTCCCCTTTTATATCCAACCTGCTGTTTGAATGTGATGGATTTAATGTGTCAAGCAGAGATTTTCCATATCTCCAATTCCATAGGAGATTATAAATGTAAACAAATAAATAACCGAGACAAATTACAAATAAATATCAACGTGTCAGTGGCCGCCGCCGGCGACTGCTGTCGTAATTTTTCCATCCAAGAGGGAGATATCGAATTAAAAAACGTGTCGCGGGCGCACTCAGTCGCGACTCATTTTCTCCCGTTTACGGCGAGTTATTTCTTTCTTTCTTTTTTTATTAATTTGTAAGTTGGTGAGTGCAAGTGCAACAACTGTTTAAGTGCACTCTCTCTATTGTTGCGATACAAACGGCTCCAGGTCGCCGGCGTCGCGATCCAGTTGCGCGCGGCGTAACCGATTTATTAATATGCCGAGACTGCTGCAGCTCGTGTTCACTATGGGCGTATATTATGTGAGGGAAATTGGAAATTAACAAAGAGTTTTAATTGATTATCAAGCAGAAGAAACGTTTTCAAAGGTAATAATTCAAGCTTTTTCAGCAAAAATAAATCAAACATTTTTTTTATCAAATTATAATTTTTTATCTTGCGGTAGAGATTTGAATTTTTATTATGAATGACTTAAAATTTGTGATTAAATTTTTTCAAGAAATAATTGTTAATTTTAACTGGGGAGAAGAAAATGGCACGTGGCCTTGTTGGAATGTATGTGTTATCATAATGATTGATTCATCAGTAATTTTTGATCAGTTATATTAATCAACATCATTTAGTTTTACAGATTTGCTTATTAGGATCAAAACAGGGGTATCTAAAGAAGAGGGATTCTAATAATCGTGATAAATTGGATTATTGATTGGAAATGTTGCATTTATTTTTATTAAATTTACTAATTTTTACACTTTCAAAATAACCCTTTGAATATTTAATCTTACAATTAATTTAACGTTTCTACATTATAAAATATTAAAATAATTGTTTTTAATAATAAATTATAAAAACAAAATTATAACATTTTAAAAATGTATTACATTTTCTTAAAAAGCAAGATTATAAATAAATTTAAAAATCTTTTTTCATTGGCATCATCAAAACTTATAAAGATGCCAAAATCAAAAGCAATAAAGCCTCTCTAATAAAGTCGTAAATCACATTTTAACTTCGAAGATGACTGCACCTCTTAATTCGCAGGCGTTCCTCCTGAATAATTGCACTTGAGCAAAAAACCACCAGCAATTACCCATTATCGCACGCCTCTCTTTTTGTGCAGCTGGCAAAACTCTCTTTTAGCTCACAATCAGTTCACCTCGACACGAAACGGCAGCATTGATTCATTGGCCGTGAAATGCGATAAATAATATATGCGAGTAAAAGCAGCCGCGGGAAAAACCAACAACAACTCCATCGTCTCTCTCGGACGAGAATTTGCATAAACGGACGTAATTATAATTTATACAACGCGATTTCGAGTCGTAAACTAATTCAGAGCGGTTTCTCGTTCGTAAATTTCCATCCGGTTCAAGTAGCAGGAAAATGAGCTCGCAATATATTGTATAATAATGGAGAATGACTCAATTCTGGTGTAGGAAAGTGAAATTATTATTCCTAAGGTCGGACACAACGCAGGCATTCTTGTTGTCTTCTTGTCAAGAGGTGCATTTTTGTTGTCCGACCTGTTGTATGACTTCATGTGCTGTTCGTTAGCTTTTCTCACAGAGAAATAAACACAAAAGAAAGCCAAGTAAATCACACAGGCTGGGCGTGCCGTTGTCAGAAACTGCAGTTGCAATTGTGCACTTTTTGAATAATGCTGAGATTTATTTATCGATTTATTCCGCGCATATTAGCACACAAAAGGCGCTGCCGAGTCGTAAATTACGCCGCCAACTTGATTCTCTATGGCTTTAAAAAGAATTTATTACGAAGTCTTGAAAATACTTTTGTCCTCTTTCAAATTGCGACTTTAAAAGTGAATAATTAAAAAAAAAATACTCCATCAAATAAAAATCATGAAATAAATTTGTTTGTATAATAAAGTATATGTATTTTCGTGATGTAAGATAAGAACTCATTATTGATAAAGTCAAATCATTGTTTGATTGTATGGATTTTATGTTGTATTCTTAGATCAAAATTACTCCTTCACATATGGGCCGAAAATTGATAAGGTAATTTTATAATTGCCACCCAAATAGAAAAAAACCCTTCAAAATGTGAAAAGACAAAAATAAAACGTAGTTTGATTGGTAAAAGAAAAGTAAATATTGAAATTTTACAAAATAATCATTCTTTAATTAAAAAAAAATGCTCTTTTCACCTTTCATTCAGATTAAAAGTATTTCAGGCAAATTTAGCTTTTACTTTTTTTATTTTATACAGTTTTATAATTTTCTGTCTTTCGGTTTTCATAGTTTTTTTCTTCTTCTTTATTTCTTCTCCATAATGTATCATTTTTACACTTCCTTAGAAAAATCCACTCATTTCCACTTAAACATTTTTGTGTATTTTATCTTTTATTTGCACGCAAACAAGAATTTAGCACGTGGGTGCGAGACATGGATAAAAATTCGCAGCTTGCTCTAACAACAGAGACACAAAGCGACATTCTCAAACAAATTCGCGCACACAGCCGATGTGTGCGGCAAGGTTGGTTTGATCTTCATTTGCACTTTCCAAGGTCACAGCCGTGTGCGTGTGTTCTTTTCATTTTTATTCGCAAAATGATTTCGAGGCAAAAGTTGCAAATTTTTTCCACGCGCTCAAAAAAAAAATGAACGAGAGAGAAGTGGAGTGGTTCGTGTTGCTATCGCCCACGCGCCCCAGGCTGATGTTTCGCTCGTCTGCACCTCGCGTTTCGCGTGCATTCTGCGCTCTAGATTTATTATTTCCGCGGACAACAAGTGGGTGGTGCGGCGCTGCCTCCACGGAATGCGCGTCTGCCGCGGAGAGCGAACATGGCTTTTGGCACTCGCCAACACGCAAACCATGCCAAACGCGGCTGCAAATTTAGATAAATTAAAGACGCGGCGGACTAATGTATAAATGGGCCTATTTCGGTTGCTACTATTTGGCTAAGGAGAGAGATAATGGGACGGATTATTAAGACTCCCTTTAGGCTAGAATTTGCATCATTATCGTTTATCTTTCTATGCAAGGAGTCAAAAATAAATTATCAAAGCTATTATTTGCCACGTTCAAAAACAGTTTATTTTTTCCTTCAAGCGATGCAATAAATAACAAAAAAAACTGAAAACTTTCAAGGAGATTGATTAACTACATTTAATTAAATCTAAACCTTTATTTTCACATGGGAAGTAATATCATAATAGGTTTAATATTGTGAATTTTGGTTTCTACTTACAGACTTGTATTCTTTTTTTACTAATATTAAAATACTAAAAAAAAACTTTAACCTTGGATGCATATTTTTTTAAATTTAAAGAATTAGATTCATAATTTAATACTTTATCCTTTTACAATTGTTTTGTTTATTTTAAAGTTATTATATTAATGCTAATTTAAGAGTATTTAATTTTGAATATTTTTTTTATAAACATTAAATAGTAATAATATTAAGGAAAAAGTATTAAATTTTAAATTTACTGTTACTTTGGATGTAAAAAATGAATAATGCTTTTATTTTTGAAAGTACTAGTTGTATTTAATTTATAAATTTTGATGGTGCTTTCAAGCTATTGAAGAAATTTGATAATTTGAAGTTCTGTGGTGAGTTTGTGATGTTTCTTTATTTCCTTGAATCAAACAATGAATGATTTTGATTAATTTAAAAAATACTTAATGAAACAAAACTGTAATTTTACGATTTTTTTTCTAAATTTTGGCAATCATAATTAAATATTCTAGAAATACAATTCAATCTTTTTGGATAAAAAAAAAAAATCAAGGAGTTCAACCACTTTCCTTTCTTATTCTCTCAAAGCAGTTTGTTATTTGCATCACAAATTGCTCAGCAGAAGCAATCTGAAATTCAAATGGTCAGCAGGTGTGAAATGCACATTATCACAGCTAATTACCGTTTAAATCGCCGATCGATGCTAATTTCCCACTCACTGAAACGCCCTCCGAGTGGAGCTAATCGCTTGCAGTTTGCGTTCCTTATATATTTTTGCCTTCTCGGACAACTTTATTAGAAGAAAAAACTGGAATCATAAAAAGCCAATTTATTGTCTACTCCTGAGTGTGCACGCGGAGGTGAATAAAAAGAGCAACAACATAATATACACACACGGAAATAAATGAATATCAAGCAATATAAAAAAAATACGTATTAATCCATATGTGTGTAATTAGACTTGCGTTGTTAATGTGTGTGGTTTGCGTATACTTATTATTATACTGGTCTCCGAGACTGAACTGCTCTTTTCTTGTATGTTCCACAGCTATGGAATCTGCTAAGCGTGGTTGCAGAAAACGGGCCCAAAATGGTAACTTGCGCGATCAGACTTCTTCTTGTTTTGTTTGCAGTGCTTATTTATTTATTTATAATTCCCTCTTAATTTGCCCGCGTTCTTATAGAATGTGTGTGATTGTGTTAAAAGGCATGCACAAGTTGTCATTTGCCATTTACCCTGGCTGCCTCCTAATGGAGTTGATTAACATTGACGTTTGCTAACAACTTCTCTCTTACGTTGTTCCCTTCCCGTTCGTCGCGTCTGTGGAAAAGCGTCGTCGACAGACTTGTGACGTGAGTCGGCCTTTTTGCGAAAAATAAATTATTTTCTCGAGACCGCGATGGCAATTGTCCAAGTACGCGTTCGCGTGCCTCACCACGCAATTCTTCCAACAATTCAGGGTTTTTGAAGTTACTTTTATTAATATGCATTTAACAACCCTGGCACAATTAATTCATTCAATTTTTCATTGCATAATTATAATGAATAATGTCCTCCAAAAAATATATTGTTCTTTTTAAATCTTTTAATAATTTGTTAATAATTAAAACTTTTACAATTTAAAGCCTGCTAATAAAGCCATTTATAAAAATTCAAGCAAAGAAACTTAAATAATATAATTAATTAAATTTAATGAATTTAACAAAATTATTATTTTGCAATAATCGAATTGAAACTTTACTTCATATAATTTTAAAATATTATAATAGTGTTTATTAAACCATTAATTTGTAAACTCACATTTAATCCCATCTTTAGTTCACATTATCTAAAAAGCAATTACACGAGTAATTAATTTCTCTCTGCTCTCAACTCAATGCCATGGGAAAATTCCACATTTTATTGCGCGTCATTTCAAAATAAATATGCGAATATATCCACTAATCGCGTGGCTATTAAACTCGCCATTTTATATACACCCAAGAAAGAACCTCTTTTTTTCGCGTTGGTCTTCCTTTTTCGCACCACGCACGCGATTTGTTTTGATTACGGCCGTCCAGCGCTTTTGCCACCGCTGTGCTTGCCGAGGGTTACGTCCTAGGAAAGGTCGCGAATTCCTTTTTTGCACAGATCGATAATTAATCGACGGAGATGATCTGGCATTGAATGCTGTGAAGTATCATTATGTGCTGACGAGGCGCCGGCTTCGAAACAATAAAAATGATCTAATGGCTTGTCTGCGCGCGGAAAAGGCGAAACAAAAAGTTTGTCCTTAAAAAGACAAGATTGCGCCCGAGGGTGCTTGAAATTGGCAGCCTTATGGATCTGTATATTATATTTTTTGATCGCTGCAGGTTTTTTGTGAGCAAGCCGCTTTTCGACTAATGGGCCATATTACAACATGTTTTAGCACGCTTTAAAAAGGTGCCATGAGCCGACAGTTGTTTATTTTTATTTGAATTTCGGAATCATTGCCTCTTTTTTATGAGCGACATTAAGTAAAAAAATGCGATTCGTAAAATTTTACAATTTGCAATAATTCAGGCCAAATAATTAATAAATAATTTTTTTTTTTAATGTCAAAATCAATCACGTTTGTTGAACTTCTTGAATTTATTTTAAACATTTGAAAAATATTTGGCTAATTCCTAATAAGAAAAAGTGATATTTTAATGTTTTTAGTTAAAAAAATTCTCCTTGTTAATTAGGTTGATTTTCATACTTATTGATATAAAATTTTTTTAAACAATCAATCTCATTATTTGACAACTATAGTCAAATAGTTTATTTCCAATTAATTAAGGTATACATCAAAGAAGGAAATTTGTTTCTTGAAAGGGTCATTGGTAGTAATTTTTGTGAACTATTTTTTAATAAAAATTAGCCAAAATTACTTCGAAATTAACCATAATAAGCATTTTTTGTTTCTTATTTTTATTTTCTGGATTAAATTTTAGCTTTGCAAAATAATAACAAATGCAATTTTTAATGCCCAATCTTAAAATAAGAATCATTTTTCACTCCGCGGGTGAAACCTTCAGGAGTTGCAGCTGGAAATAACCACAGAAACAAATATCGTTTTCCTCTCTAGTGTTGCACAACACGCATAACAATAGGAAAATTATCGCCAAAACATTCAAACTCCGGGAGTCGGTCGCATCTGGCGCATTATTTATAAAACACAACTCTCGGCGTCACCTTGGCCTTCTTTAAACATTTCGGCGCCGCACTTTTCTCATAATTTTAAGGGCCTTCGGGTGCAGCGGTTATTTGTAGCAAATCCGTCGCGGCAATGAGCGGCGCACCTGCCCGTCCGCAATTGGCTTTTCGAGGGGCTTCGCGGCCCGAGTGGCCTTTTGTTGACTCTGCTCTTGATAAGAGACGCGGCTTCCGAGGTAATCAGCGGGCGACGCGCAAAAATCGAACGTTTGGCGAACAGATGTTGGGCCGATCGGCGCTGATTTGAACACATGTGTGTGCGTGAGCTACCGCGCCAGGCTAAAAAAACGCGTGATTGAATAACCTTGGCGCTCCTGCAAGTTATTTTCCAAGGCTCGAAATATACCTGCGCCGAGAGCGCGCGCGGCGTCGAGTGCTCTTCTATTCTTTACCCCGAAGAAATGTTAAAGCCGCTTTTGCTTTCGCAGACGAAATGGAAAAATGTCACTGTCCAGTCGAAACACCATTAATATCCCCGAGGAAATTGAATATGTGCGTGGCGCCGAATGAATTGGATATCCTTGCTTGTTACGGGTGAAAAATGATTGTGCGAAGTTTAAAAAAAATCACTTGAGAAATACATATTTCCTTTTTAGTTTGGCTAAAGAAACAGGAAATAAATTAAAATTTTAAGATAAATAAATAAAATTATTTCAAGTCACTGAATACAATTAGATCATATATTATTACTGTTTATTTGTTGATCTAAAACGTTTAAAAAGATTTAATTGGAAGAAAATAATATTGGGAGGGAAACAGGATTGTTGGAAGAAGGGCACCTCAACTAGCGAAAAATTTTGCTTAAAATGTTTAGTTAAAAATATCCCACCCCTGCCGAGAGCCGTTACTAATTTTTTTTGTTCACAATTAACACATCATGAAATCATGATTTAATTATTTGTTTGTTTGATAATTTTTTTTTATAATGTTGACATTTAATATACCAATTTATTGGTACATGCGTACATTAATATTGAAATCCGGTGTTTTACAAATTGTAATTTCTGTGTCCGTTTTTAAATTTTCAAAAATTTTGGTTTGCTTCAAAAATATGAGGGGGCACCCGGGTTTGAACCGGGGACCTCTCGATCTGCAGTCGAATGCTCTACCACTGAGCTATACCCCCTACTTGTCTCATGAGGCGAAGCAAAAAGCTATTCATTCCGCGCGGCAAGCAGGCGCGGAGTGGGCGAGGAGGAAGGGGGGCTGCGCGAGTCCGGTGCGCCGCGAATCGTGCGGGAACAATCGTATCAGGCTCACGTCCTTTCCACAAGTGGAAGGCCTGCTTAGTTTAGTCAGTGGACATGAAGCGGTTCGCAAGCGTCGTAGGCGGTGTTCTGACGTGAACAGAATATTATCTACAATTTCGGAAAGAGAGAAATGTTCGCGGTGTGGGTGTTGGGCCGCCGAGTGCAGGGGTGTGTGCGACCTGCGGGGGGACGATGAGGGGCTGACGAGGCCGTGCATCGGACACCACGATGGTCAACTTCTCGAGCAGAAAGTGTCTGGCCTGCCAGTGGTTGGAGGCGCTGAGACGCGAGTTGGACGCCCTCAGCGGGGGCAAACCGCGCTTCCCGTACAAAGCCCCAGCTAACCGGAAACCCCGCTCATACAATAGGGTAAATAGGAAAGAAAAATTATCATAATATATAATTTTAAAAAAAGGTTGAATTATTAAGGCGGAAAATTTCAAGTATCATTACTTGTTTAAATTTCAGGCTATTTATATTAATAATTTTATTTTATTTAACTTATTAAATATTTAAATTAACTGAAGCTTTCAAAGATTTTGTTGAGCTAAATTTTACACAAGTTATTTATTTAATTTTACATTCAAGAATTTTAAAGATTATTTCATGTGAGCTTCACAATTTTAAATGATTAAAGAAAATGTGTATTTAAATTTAAATATTATTTTATTAAATATAAAATTAAAACATTAGATTTAAATTAAAAAATTAGAGCAAAAGTTTATAGAAAATAATAAATTAATATATAATACAAAGTAAAATTTTTTTAATTTAATGGGGCTAACAGACCCGATCGACTCATCGCGACGACTCACGTGGATTCGGGCTCCATTGTATGCATATTGCCGCTTCCTAATTGGAGCTGGCGTCGGTTTTATCTTCTCAGCACATCCATATACCAGACAATGGTCCCCGCAGATTAAAACCGCGTGTGCGTCTCGCTGTTTGCGCTAAATTTACACAAACCAGATGAGTGAGTCCCTCTCTCGTTTTCGCTACCATGCTCGTGTCATTTCGAATTTTTCTACTCGGGGTCCCCATTGTGCTCGTTTATTCTTTTGATAGATAGACTCGCAGACGTCCTCCCGCGCGCGGTTCCTCTCTCGCGCTGCATGTGTAATAATAAAATGACATAATAAAAAATTGAACGGAGAAGAGCATAGAGCACTTGGCGGAGAGCTGACCTTCTCCACCCCGCGCCTTGTGTCAGCCCAGCCATGCAAATGAGGCGTAGAACGTGTTCCACGGCCAGTCAATGTCATTTGTCATCATATGGGAGCCGCCGAGATCGCGCACACACTATTTAGACCGAATCAAAATTATGGCAAGAACAAAAATTATGAATTATGATTATATAAAAACTCATTTAACTAGTATTTGGAAAAAATGTGGCTGTTTTGGTCAACAACAGAAGCCATTTTATGCGACTTTCCCAATAAAAAGTTTTTTTTCTATTTTAATCCTTTTATTTAATATATTCTTTTTTATTAAAAGAGTTGATTGAACTTTTTAAATAATGTAATTTTAGGACGAAAAAAAAATAGGGCTTTTTGCGCTAGAGGTGGGCAAGACCAAAATTTTCTGAAAATAATAACGATATTGATAATAAATAATAAAAAGGAT